GAGCTGGAAACACTCCCTCCTGCAAGGATGTATTAACTATCGCCTGGATCCAAACGCATGTTACCTCCCAAGCTGCTTTCACCAGCCAGGAGGAGCATGGGTCCAGATGACAAGTGGTGGCCCTCACAATCTGGAGGATATAAAGTCACCAAGAGCTTTAGACAGGATATTATTTATCCACCACATGAAATCTGTGACTAAAGAAATGTCTTTAGCATATCTAGATTGATTATATGTTTAGGAGGTGCATACTGTAAGGACAACAAAGTTAGGGAGGCTTTCACGCTGTTTCAAGAGTTTCATGCTATTCCAAGTGATGTGACAGGAACACTGTCTTCCTGCTTGCAAATGAGAGGTTAACTTCTGAATTTTCCTACCTGAGCATGCGGCTACTGGCTTAGGGTTCATCTGCACATCCTATCTGCCCTGGCCCAAAGATGGCCCACTGTTTCTCAAGGACAGGAATGCATGACCATGTCCTCAGCCTGCCCCCTGCCCACCTTGCAAATGACAGTTCAGCTGGGAGAAGGAAACCCCTGGGGGCCAAACAAGCATCCTGAAAGAGCTGGCTGAGAAAGCTTCTGGCTGTGGAAGTGACCTAAACCACACATAGGGAAAGGATGGGGCTGTTCAGCAAAAGTTCCACCCTCTAGCCAAGATCCCCGATGCTTTTGGGAAGGCCCAAACATCCTCGGGGAGCAGCATGCTTGGTGTATTGCCAGGGAGAACAGGAGCACTGCCGCTTGGTTCAGCCAGCAGGGCAAACACCCCATACTACCTTCCTGAATGAGCAAGAGGAAAAAAAAGAAAGGAGTGATCCACTCTGGCCCTGACCAGACTTAAAATCTTTTCAAGGACAATCCAGCAATCTCTAATTCTCTCCTTCCATCTTTTATGTTGTCTGTTCTTTCTTCTAATTCCCTCAAACCTTGACAAATGTAAGCATTTTTTCTAATCCATCATCCCACCAAATGGTATCACTTCAAGGGAACAAGCAGCATTTCATTGGCCAGGACTGACTGATTCTTCTTACAGACCATGGTACTTTTATTAAGTATCTCCAAATCCATAATTAAAAGGCATTTATTTTTTTCCTCAATCTCTCAGTGTCTAATTTTCATAACCTTACATTTCTTTATTTAGTTAGCAAATTTATATAGTCGTCAATCTTACATTCATAACCTTGGGCAGCTAACAACCACCACAGATAGATAGATAAGAAAACACCTAGTCATAAAATACAAAACAAGTTAAAATGACTATAATATAAAAGTCAAGGTGCCATGAGAGTTGCAAAACACAATTATACTTATACTGGGCTCAGTTAACATCCAGGAAAAATCTTCCATGGTCCTGTTAACCTCAGTTAACCATCGCCTTTTCCCCTAGGAATTACTTCCTCTTTAGTTTGCTAGCATACTGTTTATCTGAGCTCAAAGAATAATCTGTCAATTACTTTCACTTCTTGATCACCAATTTTAAATTCTAAGTTCTTAGCACGCAATTTAACATTGCCTTTGTCTTCTTAATATCTAACAGTAACCCTAAATAATAAGCAAGTGTTCTGGCACCTTCATTAGCCTTAATGTTTCACATTTTGGCATAATCTATACATGCTAGTTTGGTTTATTTGTTGCAGTTCTTCTGTCCCTTTTGTGCTTCCAGTGTAAAAAAAAAAATTTTTTTTTTAAATGGGCAAGAATGTGCATACGATTGCTCTTCTTTGTTTTGTGCTCTTCTGCGCCTTAGGAAGTAAATATAAGCATCTAGACAAGGAAGAAGGAAGACTGTTTCTTTGGCAGGTTCCCTTTCCTTGGCTGCAGCATGCAATATCTTGCTTTTGCTGATAGTCTTATTTCAGGAAACAGAATTTGCGGGCTTTTTTATTCTTGGATGTTTTTTTTGGTTCTGAGGTGAAAACAAGGGGAATAAGAGGCTTGGTCAGAGTAACCACTGGTTCCTACGAACAAGCATACAAGTTGGAAAAACGTTCCTGTGCTCTGAAAATATAGGTAAAACTAAATAATCTGGGGCATGTTTTTGGCACATTTGTCCAGTCTCAATGTTTTCTAATTTACAAGTGTTTTAAGAGAATGTTTTAAAAATACAGATGACTATGGATCCCAGGTAATCTAAAAAACACTGAGTGTTCCATCCAATTCAAAATAGTATAGAACTTGAACTTTTGACTAAGTTCCCATCAGTGCCAATTTGCCTGCCTCATCAGCATTGTTAAAAGGATCTATTAAAAAATAACAAAAACAATTAAATGGGTTGCTGGTGTGCTGCAAACAAACTGCTACTCTCAAGTCTTTTCTTTATTTCCAAGAATGTCTCTGGGTTTCACAGCATTCCCAGAGGTATTGTTGGAACATAAACATGATGCATAGCTGCAACTCAGAGCTTTGCTTAGAAGCATGCTCATTTATCATTTTGGAACGTAAGCTAAGTTGGCAGAGAACATTTTAGAGGCCAGACAGAATGGGAAGAGCAACCTCACTGTTTATCTTTGGGAAGAGTTTTTTTATTACTATTTTCCTCTTCTGGGAAGCCTTCATTTTAAATCAACCAGGAAAATCTTGTCCTCCAATGAAACCAGAACAGAATCCACGGCAGTGCTACTGATTCATAGATTTCATTCAGCTATGCTCTGAACTAACCTGGAATTATGGTAGTATAGTGTCTAAGATTAGGAAACTAACAGCCGCTTAACAAAGTAGTGCCAATTGAGTCGCTTAGCCTTGTTTCCACATCAGAGGTATGGCTTTTTGGCCACAGTTCTTCCACAAAGACCACTTCTGGCCAGACTTCTCTGGACAGTAGATGGGTGTACCTGGGTCCCACTGGTTTCCACCAGTTCTGTACTGATGGCACTGCTGGACA